GAGATTAGAAGAGGAACAGGAAGGAAGGAGTTGGGAATTGCATAGTGAGGAGCAATGTGGTATCAAATACGCAGAGCACCTAAGAGCTTCATGCTACAGTTATCCTCTTTAGGAAAGGAATATTTTGAACTTTCTGGTTGTACATCAATTTATGTTCCACTTTGTTCATGCATGCAGCCACAGGGGCTGGGTGAGCACCTGGGAGCTCCCGGCCACCAGTAACCCATCCCTTCTCTCTCCCAGTTGGACAACACCGATCCCACACCCCTCCTCCCAAAAGCACAGATCACTTGCTAGCCGTCTAGGAACTGCTACCAAAACATCCCACGCTTCTGCTGGGCCTCCTGGAATGACTAGGGAAGCCACCCACAGCACACACACAAGTAATTTCTAGAAAAGGGGAGTAGGCCATGATTAAAGAAGCCACCTGGTTAAAGGTACAGATTAAGTCTTCTCAGGTCTCTTCTCTCAAGGCAGTGATCTACTCCTTGGTATCTCCCTGGAGGGCTTTTTCCCCCCTCCTACCCAGAAATGGTCACTGAGTTACACTAACAGACTTGTTGAGTTGGGGAAGACGCTTGGCTTCTCCTTGGTCCCCAGGTAGGAAGTACTTCAAAGACAGCTCCTCTCCCTCACTAAAGGAAAACCCACCCACCTCATCTACTCCTCAATCAGGTGGGGTGGCTAGAATCAACAAGCCAAGACACTTCTCTTCTTCAAAGGGCTCAGCACGGTATTTCGGTTGCTGCTAGAAGGAAGAGAAGGTGGAACCAGAAGTGAAGCATGGGTTTTTCCACACAGGTACCTTGCTCTTACAGGTATCCACCCACTCCTGTCTGCTATCACCCTGCAGCACCCAAAGCTCTCACAATCAATGGCTAAGCAGCCCCCTGAGAAACGGTTTACTCTCAGAAAGGCCAAACTTCTAATATATTTTCAGGGAACTGCTATGGAGATCCTAACTTTGGATCACTTAAAACCCCACGCACTGTGTCCCCCTCAAAGTACTCAGATCTTGGCTGAGATGACTGTACACGGAAAATTAACACCTATCAAATGGAGAAAACTTAAAAAGAACAGGAGGGGAAGGGAGCACTCCATCCTTCACATTTAGATACATGGATGCACGCTAAAAATCTTAGCTTGAACCCTTTTATCAGCACATAAAATGAACTCAGTTTAATAATACATACAGGATACAAACACTACAGTTATATTCCCAAGACAGCACAAGAAATTCACAGCCAAGTCTTGATTCGATTTCCTTTACAATTACAATGCAGTCTTGAACACTGGACACAAGAGTCCAACATGCTATTTACATTTCACATTGTGGAGATGTTTGTGTGCTTGGAAGAGTTCTCAGTTCCAAAAGAAAGTGTCATTCACACATGATAATGCAGTGGAAATAAACCAAGCCAACCAGACAAGCCAATGACCACATTTGTGCTTCTGAAAAAGTAACATGAAGTGCCTTCACCGATGCAGTCAACCTTCAACTGGACAAGCTGCCTTCTATTCTGTAGTCAGCGAGGTGTCCAGAGGCCAATGTCATCTCCCCTGAATTCTGGACCCTTTTGCTAGCAACCAGTAATATGAGTAATGTTCCAATAAGGTCAGCTGGGACACACCAAGTGATATGGCCTTGGCATTTTCTCATTAAATTGTTTATTCTCATTGTGTCTCTCTCATTAAAACCAGAGAGACACAATGGCAGAGAGAGAAGTCTCTACTGCTTTACCTCCTACAGCTTGAAGAGTTTGGACTCCCTCAACCATGAACGCCATCTAGAACAGATGAGTCTTCGCCAGATAGCACCTGCTGTTCACCCGAGAGGGAGGCACAGAGTCTGGGAGATCTTGGCTTTTGAAAGTCTTCTCCTCAGACAAAATGTGACCATATGGATGAGACTGATTATGTCGCAGCCATAAGAATAGGCAAAGGCCATCTGTTCTTCAGCAGATCCGTTCAGACCAGCCTGCAGAAATGCCACACCGTTGCTCAAGGTTCCAGTAAAAAAAAAAGTAGTAATAATAATAATAATAATCCAAAAGAAACCCATTTGTCTGTGTTTCCTATCCAGCGCTCTGCACAGCATGCAGCAGGGCAGCAGAGTTCCAGGATGCTTTACAAAAGTGCAATATCCATGTCAAGTAAAGGAAGTGCTGGCTGGACAAAGGTACACAGCTCACACTGCAGTCACGTTATGCTGGCCTCCAGAGAGCAAAATATTATCTCCGTAACATTCTTTCCAGTTATATTTTGAAGTCATAGAGCACATATCTCCACATCTGTGCCTTGCTGCAAGCCCCACGCATTGTTAGAAGTTGTTCTGGGTGTTAGGAGTGGCTACACCAAACCTTGGAAGGAAGCAGGTCAAGGTGGCTGCTCCATTACATGCTGCAAACACAAAGGGATAGGCTCGCTTTCCTGTTATCCCCGCTAGCACGAACAACGCCACTGTGGCAATTTAGATCCACCCCAAAGTGCAGTCACACACATGCTCAGGACGCATTCTGCATACAGAATAATCAATATACAGAAGCACTTAGTTTTCATAGGGTTCCCTTCACCCGCCAGCCCTCAAAACACTTGCCTTCAATGAGTTGGACCAGGCCACGGATTTTAGGGCAGCTCCTCTAAAATTGATGGTCTAAGTAGCAATCTGAGCACATCCTTGCAAGGAGAGATGATGGCAGAACAACTCAGTCTTAATAAGGATTATACGGCTCTTGCTTCATTCTTTAAAGCAAGGGGAAGGTTCAGTTCCCCCAGGTAGCAGTTGTGTGCTTTGGGCCCTGCAAGCTGACCATGCCGCACGCTTGTACACCCAGGTCTCCTGGTAGGCTTTAAGACAGGGTGGAAAAACCTGGTGCTCATGAGCCACAGTGTCCCTCCATACCACTTGTGACTACATGTCCCTGCCCTTGTTATTTGATAACACAGAGGTATGTTTCAGTGTGAAGCCCATCAAACATGTCTGAAAGGGCATACTCAGTCCTGAGCAAGAAAATCCTGCTTCCAGAGATTTATGGTGAAGCATGAAGTCTTCTCCAAAACCACCTCTTCCTGTCTGCGTGGTGGTGCCTCTGTTCTGTCTCCCTCACTCCTTTGAATGCTAGTAGCTGGCCTACAGCTTTTGCAGTCTATTAGTGGTTTCTATCTTAAGAGGAGTCTCAAAGCTTGCTCTTCCACAGAGTTGGTACCATTTTACAGCAGATACCATCATCCTAGTTAGCTACCCACTAGGAGCAATTCCTACCTCACTGCAAGAAGGCAACTGACTTGGGTAAAGGCAGAGTGGTAGATTCTGTGCCCCATACAGCAAACATGGGGTAAACAGACACCAAGTCTGAACATCACTGAGGCGAAGACTAACTGCCCCTGCCAATGCCTCAACTCCAGTTTGAGAGACATTTCCCGCTTTATTTTCTTTGCCAGTTATTTAATAGAATGCTCAGCAGCTACACTAAGATGCCCCTGCTCAGAGGTAAAAAGACAAAAAGGAACATCATAGTTACCCTACTGAAAGGGCAGTACTGGACAGTACCTCCCAAGAGGCAGTCTCCTCTTCCAGTAGGAAGCTGTCAGTGCCCTTCAGAGCACTGCTCTTCAGTGGAAAGTACAGCACCAATGGAGGATGTTGCCCTCTGCAGGCACCCAGCTGCCCCTTTGCAAGTCTTGTTCTGCCTCATGTCTAGAAAAATGCCTTACAGGTGCCTTAATATGGTCAGATAGTGGTTAGCAATGTGCCTTGAAAAACAAAATGAAATAAAACAGAATCAAATAAAAGCCTGTTCTGACAGTCACAATGTTCTCCAGATGTCATTCGGGTTTCTGACTCTGAAACAGGGAAGAAGATACACTGTCAATCTTGTGAGCTTGTTAGGACTGAGGCTCCAAAAACCTCTTTCAATGCCAGTACAGCAACCCTGTGCTGTAAATTACAATTATTAAAAAAAAAAGTCCAGCAGAGTTCACAGGTCACTCCTGCAGGGAGAGCTTGCATTTGCTATAAATCCATTGGTGCTTCCAGTCTCTTGCTTTTGCAAGCTGACTGACCCATCAGATCTAGCATCAGAGAGCTGAAACTCTTTAGTGCAAAAATACCCCCCATAGTCTTATAAGTCTTTTCCTGGAAAAATTTGGCACCAAGTGGGTGGCTGGCTCCTGTTTGATCTGTTTGTCGGCCTCGTAAAGGCAGCACCCATCTGCTAGTACCTGGGCTTCCCTGATGGAGAAGAGAGGTCAGGTTCAGAGCAATGGTCGGGATAGTTGACTGGTGCTGGGACCCCCTGCTCCTCCTCAAGAATTCACTTGCTAGATATAGTGGCAAAGAAAAAGGCATTTTCTTAATGGCTTTTTTTTTTTTAGAAGTTAACTAGGGTAGTGGAATAGTTTGCTCCAGAAGAGCCCCAGGCTCCCAAATTACAGTGGATATGCAGTGACACCATGAGGCAGGAGCTTCCCTCCTCCCTCACACAGGGCACTGGGCTCCCACCAAAATGCTGCATTGCACATTGACTCAGCATTCCCTCGCTGTACACTAGTCATAGGCACCGAGCCTCTGCTTCTTCAGTGTCTGACAGACTGCTGATCCCCCTGCAGAAGTGAAGATCTACCACCATCTTTCACCAAGTCCCTCTGGGGAACAAGACAGAAAAAAGGGGTAGAAGATATTCACCAACTTTTTCTGATAGGCTACTCTAATAAGTTGGCCCCCAGGCAGGTGGACCCAGTTTCTTGCCTGGGTGCTCTCAGCTGCTTGCCTGCACACGCTTGCTCTCTCACTCATCAGGTACAGCAAGGTGAAGGCTTAAATTCAAAAGGGGCTTCCACTCCAGTGGGCAGGTACCAGGTTGGAGGGGTGGTCTGGACTGGAGGAACAGAAGGAGCTGCACTGGATTTTGGGCAGAACAGCAGGGTTGTTCTATGAGGACAGCACAGGGGCACAGCAGTTGGCACATTGTTTAGTCTGACTGCATGTGTGGGTTTTGTATTTTTGCTTTTGCTTTTTCATTTTAATGCACACTGCCAGCATCTGGACGAGGTTGGTTGGTGGCGAGGTATTTGGCTCTCATGCTGGAGGTGTACTGGAGGAAGACAAGACAAAAAAACAAAAAACAGAAAAGTAAGTCAGAATGACCAATGTAAACACGGAACCACAGATTACGACCACCTCCCAGCTGGTCTGTATTTACAGCAAGCATACCGAGGAGCTGCTGGCTCAGTCTGACAAGGAAAGTTCACAAGTCACTGCACAGTCCACTCTGAGTAACACAGTCAGCCTGCTGCAAGGATACTGGCCAGGTCAGTGCAGATGGGCTAATGATTTATCCAAGCCCTCTACAGAGGAGAAAATCCAATACTCATTGCATCAAAATATGCCATACTTTGCCTGAGAGAAGAGAGGGAAATGGAAATGATGCAGATGTAAAAACCCAACTCAAACCTTCATCCTCCTAGTCATGTTATTGCTTTCAACCATGCCAGAAAAGGAGGTTAAAAAGAAAATAGGTGTGCACTGCATTTTTTCATTGCATTTTACAGCAATGAGGGCATCAGAAGACTGCACGCATCACAGATGGGCAGGTTGAAAGAAGTGTGGAAGAATGAATCTCTGCACAATTTATGCCAAAGAAAGAACAGGCCCTGCCAGGCTGGAAACAGGCTGCCATCAAGGAAGATATTAGCTGGCAGTTATCAGATGGGTAATAATCCACTGTGGCTTGGGATCCAACCTGCATACTCTGCAGTAGCAGACAAGACTCCAGCTTGGGGGTGAGAAAAGAAAGTCAGAAAGATGACAGGTCGTTTTGGTTTGGGGGCAGTTGTTTTTTCTTATTTTCTTTTTTTATTCTAAGCAAGGTAATCCTAACAGCTCACATAAGCTACTAAGGTAACATATGTCATTCAGCTTTGAATAATAAGCTGAAAAGCATGTAAATAATACCAAGCAGTAAGAACAAAAGACTTTGCCTCTTAATGCCAATGTGTTCAATGCCTTCATCGTGATCACATTAATGCTTCTGGGATTCTGCTACCATGATACTAACAACGAAGCAACGAGGACAGTCATTTTATTCCTCTTTTTATACCAGCTGGAGCTTGAATAATTCTATAATACCCACATCTTACTTCCCAAGAGTGCTCTTCAGCATACTGACTTTTTATCACATTTAAAACTGAACCACATAAAATAGCTGGTTAAGCTGGCAAAGAGACAACTGAAAGGCAGTTCCTCACCAGGAGGTATGATTTATCTTGCCCACTGGGAAAGAACATTATGAGGCATCTTTAGGCTCTCCAAAGCTCAGCTATCCAAAGCGGTTTTCAGAGAATTAACAGTATTTTATTGGTTTTTCCTTCAAAGACTGACCTGGGCTGAACCTCTGCATAATAGAAGACAGAAACTGCTCCTCTGGCAGAGCTGACCACATCAGCACAAGATGAAGACACCTGTGGCTTATTTGCACACTCATCTTTTAGTGTCTTCCATAATTGGAAAACTTTCTGCAGAAAATGGATCTTAATATAAAACTCTGCCCCAGAACTGGCATCTATATTTAGAAGACAAAGGGTACATCTGTTCTCTTTTTAAGCTTTTTTTTTTTGCCATTGAGAAGGAAAAAGGTAGAAAATACCAAGCTGAGCCAGTTTAAGGACTATGTTCTATACATCTTATTAAATGTGATTACTGTTTCAGAAATAAAGTTTTGGGCATTAGTAAAACATATGAGACTGACCCACAGGGCTCAGAGAGGCTTAGAAGTTAAAGAACTTTCTCATAGAGTAAGTAGGGCATGTCTCAGGTAGCGCAATGCTGAAATTACCAGCCAAACATCATGCCAAGAAGGTCTCAGAAAGGAAAAAGGCATTTGATTACTCATTTTCCATTTGTATTCTATATGTGACACATGATAGGAAATGAGTATGAGCAGAGAACTTCCAGGTGCTAAGGTTTTGTAAGAAGTATTTAGAAAAAAGTCTCAGATCACAGAATGTTATTGTGCATCTTCTTGGACAATTCATATAGCTTCAGCACACAACATGCAACATCAACTTTCTTTAGAGCATTAAAATCAAGAGGGGCCACAAACTGCATTTCAAGGATGTACAAAGTACACCCATCATGGAGGGAGAAGTCAAGAAGAATTCAATTCCTCTTCCACCAAGAAGACACCCCACAGTCATTTAAGTGTCACTAAAAGTAATCAGGAACATGAGATTTGGACAGTCAAGCAGAGGGAATTTTACATTCAGACCTACCTGCAATCCACCACATGGAACAAATCAAGACTCAGAGTAGTCAGAGTTAGGGCTGATGTTCTCTCCTTAACTCAGGATTTTTGTGCCTTTGTACCTTTTTCCATTACAGTTTGAAACAGTTACTCCTTCTGTTAAAGTGTATTTTTAATGACCACGGTAAGTATGATTGAAAGCTGGAAGAAGAGAGCTAACACTTCACTGTGCACCCCTCACAACCCGCACAGCTCTATCAGCGTGCGCTGGATCCTCAGTCGCTGCATTCCACGTACAAATGCTTTGCTCCACATGCTGTTGACAGCAGTCCCTCATTCACGTCCCTCAGTGCATCCTCTACTGGGAAGCAGAGGAAAGATGCTGTGGAATACAGAGATCCCAACATCTGGACAGGTCAGCAGATGAAAATGTATCGGCAGAAGCTTGCCAGTCGCATGATTGTGAAACCAAACTATATTATCCATAGTTAAAACAATTAACCCTTTAGCTCCTTTAAAAGTAATTCTAAAGACTTACAGACTGAGCACAATTCAGGGCTAAGGAGGTCTTGGACTCTACTCTGAGGTAACCCGGACAGAGTGCAGGCATACAGTTGCATTTAGTTTCCTTTAAAGAGGAGCTTTCACAGAAGGTTAAAGAACATGCACAATGCAGTCATTCTTCCAGTACTCTCGCTGGAAGTACCCACGTGCCTATACACTCTTGTTTACCCTTTCAAAAACAGCACGGAGGACAAGTTTCAACTCATACCTTCACCACACTGTCAGCTACCCTAAAGAGAGTACCTAAAAGACTTCTTGTTATCGTATTTCCTGGTGGCTTGTGCTATTCAACACAGCACTCCTCTCAGTCACTTACCAGTCAGCTAGGACAAACACAGCTGATTGCACACAAGTTTATTTTTGCATTTCTCAAAAAAAAAAAGTCTCTCCTTCACATTCAGCCTTGTTGAAGGTATAAACTTTCATAGGTATGGTTTGCCAGCACATAGGTTAGGTGCTTAACACATATAGCCTGTGTACAAAGGAATCACTGATTGCAAAAAAAATATTAGAATAATCGGTTCATTTTAAAGACCATAAATTCTACCGACTCCTGTGAATTGTGCAGAACATGAGTACTTCACAGCTAACTGAGCTATGCTGGAAGATCACTTACCATGTGAAACCACGACTCCCAAGTATAAACCATTTACTATTTGTGGTTAAAACCCCCACACGTATCTCTCTTCAGCTACCCTGACTTTGATTTCCTGCCAGAGCTATTCAGGTAAATCCAATAGAGACCAAAGCTTCTGGATTAAAGTTCTCTCAAGTAGCTAGAGCATAGTAAACACACACGGTTCAGTATCATTATGTACAGGAGGTACAAGATGCAGGGAAACAGGCAATTCCAGCCAGTGGGTTTATGAATTCAAAGCAATATAAGTTTTCTAAGTCAAAAGAACAGAGCTTCTGTTCGTTTTGTTTGTTTTTAAAGTCTTGGAAAGAATGCAATGCCTTTTTCTTCGCCCTGCAGACAGCCACATTAAACTTGGGGTGTAACCCTAGGTAAACAGAAGACAGTGCAGACCGAGATCAGGTCATGTTTCAGCCCAGAGGAGACATCAAGTCCAGAATGAAGACACAAGAATTCCTTCCCCACCAAGCAATATTTTATAGACCCATCTAGCATCACTACAATACCACCTGCAGGAACCAAAAAGCAGAAAAACCACCACACCCAAGAGCAATCTTTGCAAGACTTAAGACTGAAGAAAGTTGTGAGCCTTTCAAGGGTGCTAGCACCATGCTTCAATACAAGTTTGTTTGCATTCATGCACCATGGCAGAGGGCACCAAGACACCCAGTTCAGACAGCACCCTTCCCAGCATGTCACAAGGCAGGCAGACAAACGGCAAGAGGCAGCAAGAATGCAGACCAAGCAGCAACATGATGGAAAGGAATCCAATGCAAGGCTGACAAAAGTCCCAACAGAGAAAAGGAGGAACAGCAGCTTTATGGACATGTATTTCTGGGAACATAATGTAAGATATGGGTCATTGACTGCATGAGTCAAAAGCAACTGACCCTCTTTTCCAACTGGAACCAACCCCTTCCACTTACTCTGTGCTCCTTCAAGCCACACTGTCCTTCAACACCAGATGAGTATGATGAGCCTGAGAGCTCTAATTATACCCTATACTCAACCAAGATAAAAACTACAAGGCCTAATGCAGATCACCTACTCTTTCTGTACGCACATGGCATTGTCATGGACCACTGCAAAGGAATAAACTCTGGCTATCTTGGAGGATATCAGCAACTACAGCCCATTAGGAATTTAGACCGTGAAATGGTACTAGGAGGGCCCTGCTCACAGAGCCTGTGGGGCATGGATGGGATGATTTCGACACACACAGAACAAAGAAAACAATAAAAGATTTTGAAACAGAATGAAATAGATCTTAGTGCTTATGCCTGGACCTTTAGGGATTTTATTTTTATTTTTTTTTTTTTTTTAAACTTGCTCCTTCCTGACTTTAAATGCAAGGATAAAAGGAGAAGCTGCACACAGATTTAACAGGTAATGACGTAACTCTTCAGGACAGGCCACCATCACCAGCTAGGATCTTTGGACAAATTAAAAATCCTACTGAGGAGCTTAAAGCGTGTGCCAAACAGGTATTGGTGGTTTGGGCACATGCTGCTATGACCAGTCAAGACAAATAAAAAAGCAGCAGGTCTCAAGGGAAGCCAAGAGGCTGAATTAAGACAACCAGTCCCAATTGAAAACTGCCAGATTGGTTCTCATTACTTCTAGAAAAGGGCTTCTTGTAATGAGAGAACTTCTATTCTGCATTTGAAGGGCAAGGTTAGTTCTACATTTGAGCAGCACTCAGTACTAGGTTAGTTCTACATTTGAGCAGCACTCAGTACTAGGTGTTCAAGCTGTTCTCAAGCGTGGACTCGGAATTGAAGCTGCTGTGAGTTAACCTTTGAGGCATAACCCTCACAATGTGCACCAGAAACCTTTGCAATGTTCATACTGCTCCTTGAGTCTGCATCAGAGCAAAACTGATTTTAATTTTAACCCTTGGCAGGAGGGAATGGGGTGGGAGGTGCAGAGGGAAGGAACGTGAAGAAATAAAAGGCACTGGCCTGGGATAAACAGTGCAGGGATGAAGGGAGTGGTTGGGATTGGAGAAGAGGTTGAGCAAGAAGGACCTTTTTTCCAGTACCTGTTCCATTTTGCGGGCGCTGTTACCAGTATGTCCGTGCACTGTCCGAGGGCTTAAGCTGCCAGCTCATATGGCTGCTACTGTCCATGGCAGCCAAATACAACTGTGACGATGCAAGAAAGAGAGAGAAAAAGAGAGTGCAGCCTCAACGTGCATGAAAAACACAGTGCAAGCAAGTGAAACGCTGTGGTGTGTGTCAGCGACAAGGTGGGCTCTACAACCCTAAGGGAATAGCCCTGTGGCAAGAAGGAGAAAACAGAAGGAATGAGAGAAGGGAAAAAAACAAACAACAAAAAGCCAGGAAAAGTAACGGACAAACAATGCAGCAGGATCATCACATCTTAGTTTTCACCAATTTTTTCCACAGAAAGCTAAATGGAATATATCAACTCTGTCCACCCACTGGACATAACCTGTTTGGGTGGTTATCCCTGCCTCCAAAAAGAGGCAGGGTCACGTGCATTGGTATTCCCTTTTCATCTCTCTTCTCCCACAGAGTATTTGCTATGAAAAGTTGCAAGTTCTTCTCCTTTAGTACGGTCTCAGCCACCTGCTATGGAGAGCCACAAATACAAAAATCCCAGAAAGCCCCCTTCCCTGCTGCCTACCAATATGCAAGTAGATAGTATTTTTCTTCTCTCCACTGCCCATCTACTATCAGTATGATCCTCCAGAAAACTCCAGAAAACACATCTATCCTATAGCCTGTTCCTTGCCTTGTCTAGGGAGAATCTCCCCTTGTCTATATAAGCAACTATGCACTCTCCTCCTCCCCCAGCTCCTGTGCTTCCCTACAGCCCATATTGATGGCTGCCAAGTCAAAAAAAATCTCATCTTTGTCTACTCTCAGAAACCAGCCTAAGGCACCAGGACTCTGATACCCCCGCAGGGTATTAACACAAACAGCTACTGAAGAATTGGGGAACTTCTTGCATAACTAAAGCCCCTGCAGAAAGGAGCGTGCTTTCTCTGAAGCAGAAGAGCTGTGGGGGAAGGGGAAGCAGGACCCTGGTCTAACACTGAATGACCATGTGCCTTGGCAGTACCAAAGGGACAGTGCCCTTCCTTCAATAGGAAATGCCAGTGGCAAAGCATTTGCCACACTGTGCTGGTGTGCAACACGTCAGCTCTTCTCCTGAGGACCATCTTGCTGCTGACAGCAGGTAATGCTCCCGGAGCGTGTGATCAGAGTACCACCAGGGATCAGGCAAAACTCTTTGTGAAGGCTGAAAGAGGTCTGGCCAAGTACAGAGACAAGGATCAACTCTCTACTTTTCCACTTTCTCCACAGCAAGATGAACTGGTCATTTTGAAGTGAAAACATGAATGTGATGTCTCTCCACCACAGTTCTTATTCCTTCATCCTCCAACCTCCTCTTCCTCCCCTTCCCATGAATTTGAACCATGCACCGCGGAGTGTGTTTACCTATACCTGAAGACTGGTTGATTGTTAAGCATGCTACTATACTTATCCTCTGTAATCACACCACGAAGTTAGTGAGCACTGTGATGGCATGTTCTCCAAGTTCTGGTGTAAGTAAGGCTTACATGATCCAGTGAAGGAGGGCAAGATTCATCTAGTTCTTACACATACATGAAGGCAAGCCCATGTTTCATCCAGCATACAGAAATGGCTATTCAGGCCACTCCAAATACCAAAACCTTCCATGAAAGTTTTTTCCTCCATAGGAAATTAAATACAAAAAATAGATTCTAAAGAAAGTAAAACAGTTGTGAAAGAAAGACTTTTAAAAAAAATCTCAACAAAAAATAATACAGGTTTCATCCTACCATCCCTTTAGGGCAGATTAAGGAGAGAGTTTCAGCGATAACTCTGAATTTACTGTTTTAACAAGTTTCTTTTTAAACTTGAGGAACCAATGCCACAGATAGCAAGTACCCTGCATGCAAGTGATTCATCCTG